ACATGACCTTGGAGGTGTCTACGGACAACGCTGGCTCTTTGGCTTAGAAATGGAGATGAGCACCACACCCCAGAGTCAGACATTACTGGACTTAATGTCAGGGGACTACCTTTACCTTTACCTATTCCAACACCTTAAACATTATTGGACACTGCTGCTCTTAGACCAGTTGTACCTGTAAACATAATGGGAAGATTGAAACATAATGGACAAAAAAAGAAAAATAATTTGCTGAATTGGGATTATTACAATGCAAATTAGAATAATTTGTTTAATTAAAAATATGCAAGTTAAGTGCCCAGATTGCCTACTCTAGTGGCTACTAGCATGCACAGACCTCATTGAACAGGGTTATATATACTTGTTCAAATAATAATGTTGCCCAAAAGTGTGTCAGTTCAAACTCTGGCACTCAATGTCCCTCCTTGGCTCCATTTCTGTCAGTAACCACCACCTGCATTTATTGTTTGTGGGCATTAGGTATGCAGCTTTATTTGTTTGTAATAGGAAGCAGTTGACTCCAGATTGACTTTGTCAAACCCAGGGGCGGCTCAACCCATTACGCAAAGTAAGCATTTGCAGTATAGTTGATTTTGCCCAGGGGCGCTCTTGGGGGAAAATAGACCTTGACATATGCGAGTTGTAGTTACTGGGATGTATAGTTCACCTACAATCAAAGAGCATTCTGAACTCCACCAATGATGGAATTGAACCAAATATGGCACACAGAACTCCCACGACGAACAGAAAATATATATTAGTGATTGGTTGGGGGGGGGGGCGGCACCAAAATACTGTTTGCTTACCGTTGAAAATTATCTAGGGCTTCCTCTGGTCAAACCCAAGCTGGGACCTACTTATTGCTTTGCTTCTTTCTTTTTTCCCTTTCATTTTTCTGATCAACCAACCTAGAGGCACAACATTCCTTTTTTTAAAAAAAAACTTTGCATATTCTGCACCTTGCTGAGACTTAGGAGATGTTCCTTAGTTTCAGATTTGTAACTTAAGCATTTTGCAGAGGATGAGCAGAATTGCTGAACTATATGTGAAGTGATTTGCTCAAGCTTTATCCTTTATGTAACCACAGCAAGGAGTCACCTTATTTTGCCTACCATGCAGACAGCTTTGGGTCAGCCACCCTCCTTTAATCCATTATGTGCTAATACCGTCTGCTGCTGGTTTGCTCATGCCTGCTAATTCTATTCTTGGATATTTACCGTTTCTCCCATCTCCTTGGATTTCTAGATAGATAGATAAATAGATAGATGATAGGCAGGCAGGCAGAGGAAGACTTGATGATGTGTCATTGTAGAATCCACACAGAGACTGATGTTTTTAGCAGATATGCTGGCTATTTGCTGCTGCAGCTGTTGTTGTTGTTGCCTTTATTAATATTCCAATTCAAGATATGTAAATATTAATTTTGTCCAACAATGTGGAGAGATGACTACAGGAATTATTAATCTCTGCATGTGGGAATAAAATAATGGAGTAAGGTTTAGCATCCCTTATCTGGAATTGCAAAATCTGAAATCCTGTGAAATCCCAAATTATGCACATGGGTGAGTGATTTCACACTTTTGCTTTCTAATAGTTTGCAGTATACAAACATTGTTTTGTTCCATGCACAACATTATTAAAATATTGTATATAAAACTACCTTCAGGCTATGTGTGTAAGATTGTAGGGGCAAAGAACCAAACTAGGCCTTAAATCCAAATCTGAAAAACAGGAGCCTCCTTTCCAGTGGGGAGGGCAAGGAAGGACGCCACAAAAGTTGAATCTTCAAACTGCAAAAAGCTATTTTATTGCGTGGCCATAGCAATAATGACAAACATGCATACAAGAATGCAGTCAAAGGTTTTGTCGCCACCCCTCAATGAGGCTGCAGAGCTTTTATCACTTTGGCAGTACATTGAATACACATTGGTGTCCAAAGTTCAATCATTTCATTGGTCTAAGCTGGCTATACAGATTGGTTCTTTATGATTTTGACAGGCCTGAAAGCACACGTGGGACTCTAACAATTGCACAACTATGGTCTATTGTTTTCTGACCATGACTGTTTTACTATATCAGTCTTATCTGTCCTTCTGTTACCCAGAACGACTGGGAAACTTAGGGAGTACCAACTAGCCACTAGCTAGCCAATTTTGTCCTGATGTACTTTTAGCCTTGAAAAGTAACTTCCTCTTGGCAGCAACGTTTTCTCAAACCATCAGCATTTTTTGTAAACAAAGGCCCTCTGCAGAAGTAGGCCAATATGGCAGTAAATCAGGACATATGAGCATTGGGAACATCCCTAAAAAATCCCTTTTAAAACCACATCTCCCCAAAGGTGTGCATAAAACATAAATGAATGGCATGTTTATACTTTGCTTTCATCTTCAAGATATCTTATTTCGTACATGCAAATACAGGTATTACAATATATATCCAAGGGCGGCTCAACCCATTACGCAAAGTAAGCATTTGCAGTATAGTTGATTTTGCCCAGAGGCGCTCTTGGGGGGAAAACAGACCTTGACATATGCGAGTTGTAGTTAATGAGATGTATAGTTCACCTACAATCAAAGAGCATTCTGAACTCCACCAATAATGGAATTGAACCAAATATGGCACACAGAACTCCCACAACGAACAGAAAATATATATCAGTGATTGGTTGGGTGGGGCGCCAAAATACTGCTTGCTTACCATTGAAAATTACCTAGGGCCGCCTCTGTATATATCTATATATCTATAAATCCAAAACACTTATATTCCCAAGGTATCCAAGAAGGCTAAAGACTCTGGTATTACAACTCGATAGCCTTGTCCCATGGCAGTTATTGGATTGAAACTGTACTCATTCTGCTGTGTAGATGCACCCCAAAAACTTGTGTACAGGAGTGAAAGTGCAGGATACTATCTGTCACAATAGGAAGCAAAAGGACAGAAGCCATATGTATATTCTCTCCTCTGCTGCCATGTCATGTTCCAAATAAATGTCTCCTCTGCCATGTAGTGTCATAAGGCCATGGAGCACATGTGGGCAAGATGGCCTTGGCCTGTAGCCATCCGCTGAGTAGCATGTTGCTAAGAGATGCCTGGTCTGGTCTCACTGGCCTCATCCTTCCACAACTGGTACATTAATGGTTGCCTAGCAACCTCAGAAGACAAGATTCCCCTCAACGCCAGCTCTTCTGCGTTGCCCAGATTAGTAGCCTGTGAACTGGAAAATATTCACAAGCATATCAATTGGGATTATTATTTCCCACTCCTCCCCCTTGGTTATTCAGCTTCCTAGAGCCCAAACAAGCTGTAAATGGGGGGTTTATTGTCTCAATGAATAAGATTATTGAAGCAATATGCATCGAGGTGACTTTTATTGCTCTCTAGCTGTATGATTGGCAGGAGGCATAGATGTGCCACAAGAACCTGTCATCATCAGATGGCACAGATACCTGTCATCCTCATCATCATCGATTTCATTGATTTCTTCCTCCTCCTCCTCCTCCTCCTCCTCCTCTTCATCATCATGTCTCCTTCCTCTGGAATGTGTCCAGAGGAAGGCGACTAAAATGATCAAGGGTCTGGAGAATAAGCCCTATGAGGAGCGGCTTAAGGAGCTGGGCATGTTTAGCCTGAAGAAGATAAGGCTGAGAGGAGATATGAGGGCCATTATAAACATGTGAGGGGAAGTCATAGGGAGGGGGGAGCAGGTTTGTTTTCTGCTGCCCTGGAAACTAGGACATGGAACAATGGCTTCAATTATTATTTATTTATTTATTTATTTATTTATTTATTTAATAAATAAATAATAAATAAATAAACTAGGACATGGAACAATGGCTTCAAACTACAAGAAAGGAGATTCCATCTGAACATCAAAGAGCGTTCTGTATAAATATGTGAGAGGAAGCCACAGCGAGGAGGGAGCAAGCTTGTTTTCTGCTTCCCTGGAGACTAGGACACAGAACAATGGGTTCAAACTACAAGAGAGGAGATTCCATCTGAACATGAGGAAGAACTTCCTGACTGTGAGAGCCGTTTGGCAGTGGAACTCTCTGCCCTGGAGTGTGGTGGAGGCTCCTTCCTTGGAAGCTTTTAAACAGAGGCTGGATGGCCATCTGTCAGGGGTGATTTGAATGCAATATTCCTGCTTCTTGGCAGGGGGTTGGACTTGATGGCCCATGAGGTCTCTTCCAACTCTTTGATTCTATGATTCTTCCTCCTCCTCATCATCATCATCAGTTCCTCCTTCTTCATTGTCTTCCCTTCATCATCAGTTTCATCCTCCTCTTTGTAATCAATTTATTCATTATCTTCTTCCTCCTCCTCTTCATCATCTTCAATTTCTTCATCATCATCTTCTTCCTCATCCTCTTCATGATCATCTCTTCTTCCTCCTCCTCTGCTTCATAATCTTCAATTTCTTCATCATCGTCGTCGTCGTCTTCTTCCTCATCCTCTTCATTAACATCTCTTCCTCCTCCTCCTCATCAACATCAGCTACTTCTTTTCTTTATCATACATTATTGTTGTTCTTATTCGTTACTTGCCCCTCCTCGTGGTTCGAAATGGTTAGAACACATCACCATGCAATATATACAACAAGATACATATATTAAAGCACATTATTACAAAATCCATATATCAAAATACGTGGTACATAGATTAAAACGCAATAGTAAGTTTAAAATCCGTGTTTTAAAATTGACTGGGTGGACCTGGGTGAAGTGATGAGAGCATCTGTGCATACATCTCAATTTTACTTGGATTATCATTGATGATCATCAGCCTTGAGGCCATTGGAATTTCTGCACATTCACCTATCTACCCAAGGTTGTGTATTTGGCAAGAGGAGAAGGTGCTGTTACTAATGGGGAAAGATGGAGGAAAAGGATAATTAAAAAGGTTCTTCTGATATTTTGGTCTGGTTATTTCCATTAAATGTGAATAGCAGTTAACCTCAACACAGTTATGGGCATTCATCTTCTGTTTCTTTCCATACCTAGATCATCAATGCGGTGGTACTACTGATTATACTGAGCGCCTTGACAGACCCTGGCCAGTATCATTTAACAACAACCGAATTAGGAGGTGACTTTGAATTTATGGATGATGCCAGTAAGTATATATCATGTCATTGGGTGATTTACAACCTAGTCACAATTTAATTGAACTGGTATTGTGCCAAGACTGCACTCTCATGGCTGGGTTTAACATTGGCACGCACTCACAAACCTTCTCTGAAAAATCTTTTTGACATATAAATATGCATTAAATGTAATATCTATTGCCACCAAGTTTTAAAATGGCTGTTAACAATAATTAACCTAGATAATCAGTCTGGGGTTTTTTTATAGAGTATCTATTAGAGAGGTATATGGGTTGAGCATCTCTTATCCAAAATTAGAATTTGTCCACATGGATAGTTCTGATAATAATAATTATTATTATTATCAACACCAACATCATAATCTTTATTTTTATCATGTCTTTCTCCCCATAGGAATTCATTGCTACAATACTGAAACCTTTGCTTCATGATGGTTCAGCATACATAAGTTTTATGCCCAGAAGTATTAAATGTATAAAATTATATTTAGGCGCTCTCTCTCTCTCTCTCTCTCTCTCTCTCTCTCTCTCTCTCTCTCTCTCTATATATATATATATATATATATATATATATATATATATATATATATTGTTGAACATATACATGAAGCCATTGGGAGGGATCATCCCAAGTTTTGGAGCTGGATGTCATCTGTACGCAGATGACTTTCAACTCTATTTCTCATCTGCAGCTAAGGAGACTGTTCAGGTCTTGAACCAGTGCTTGGCAGCTGTGATGGTCTGGATGAGGGTGAACAAATTGAAACTGAATCCAGACAAAACAGGCACTCCTGGTCAGTCTTAAGGCCGAACAGGGCATAGGGTTAAAGCCTGTACTGGATGGAGTTACACTCCCTCTGAAGGCACAGGTTCGCATCTTGGGAGTGATCCTGGTTTCATTGCTTAGCCTGGAACCCCAGGTCTCGGTGGTGGCTAGGGCAGCTTTTGCACAATTAAAACTTGTGCGCCAGTTGCTCTCATACTTTGAGAAATCAGATTTAGCCACGGAAGTCCACGCTCTAGTTACATCCTGTATAGCTACTGCAACACGTTCTACGTGGGGTTGCCTTTGAAGACTGCTTAGAAGCTCCAAATAGTTCAACAGGCAGCAACCAGATTGCTCACCAGAGTGAGGTACAGGAAGCATGCAATTCCCCTGTTACACCAGCTCCACTGGTTGCCAGTCTGCTACCAAGCACAATTCAAAATGCTGGCTTTAGTCTATAAAGCCCTAAACAGTTCTGGCCTAGCTTACCTGTCCAAATATATCTCCCTTTATGAACCATCTCAGAGGCTAAGATCATCCAGGGATCTCGGTCCCACCTCCCCTGCAGGCACGACTGGTGGGGACGAGACAGGGAGTCTTCTTAGTGGTGTCCCCTCATCTATGGAAATCCCTCCCCAACAAAATTGGATCAGTGTCCTTCCTCTTGTTCTTCAGCAAAAACATGGCCATGGGTAGTAAGCAGGACAAGAAACAAACACGGATTATGTACAATTGTTATTTGATACTGAAATGGCTTGGACCATGCTTTTGGATCATGTGAATTTAATGTTTATATTAATATGTTTTAATGCCTTGGTTTAATGTTTAAAGGTAGTTAAGTTTTATGATTTAATTAATAGTTTTATGTTAGGCTTTCATGTTTTATAAGGCATCGAATTTTGCCGTGAATATGCTGGAAACTGCTTTGAGTCCCCCCATGGGTGATAAAAGTGGCATATAAAGCAAGTAAATACATAAGTAAGGTATAAGTGACATCTCGTTATATTTAATATATGCAAATACAAGCATTTTCAAATCCTGAAAAAAAAACTGAAATCCTAAACATTTCTAGTCCCAAACATTTGGATGAGGGTTACTTAACCTGTATTTGAATTATAGTGTGTGAATGTAGAACTAGGAAAAGCCATCTCTGACTATTCCTTGCCTAGGAAAACTTTATGAAATCCGTGACTTCGCCATAAGTCAACAGGTGACATGAAGGCACATTCATACATAACATAGCAACCTGATTTCGATGTACAGCTTTAGTTATAACTTAGTGTTACATACATACACTTTCTTTTTTCCAGAATCACTTTTAGAATGAGACAAGAACCTCTTGCTTATAAGTTTTCAATTGCCATTATTTCTGAACCCAAAACTGTGGTTAGCCTTCATTATGGTTTAGGGCAGGGATGGGCAAAATATGGCCTATTTCACCATATGCAGCACCCAGGGCTTCCCATGGTTGAAAGAAATGCTGTATTTTTACAAAAAAGTTTTAGAATTAAAATGCCTTCATATGGGGGGATGCATTTCTACCACATTTAGTCCCAGTGTCCAAAAATATCTCTGGCCAATTTATATTGAGGCCAGGCTTTTTTTTCTTTTTCTTTTTGAAATAGGAATTGAACAGGAAGCAACTTCTGCTCACTTCCGCAAAGAAAAGAGGAAAAATGGGGGTGGTTCCCAGGAACAGATACAATTATGTCATTTCTGTTTCTAGCCCCAATGCCCAATATCCATTTATTTAGTGAGGTTGAGAATCTTGGCTTTTAATTTTAGGTCATCTGTCCGCCGGTACTTGTTCCAAGACTGTGCATACAGAGCATAGAAAAATAATACTGCTGTAATGCTTTTTTTGGCTGAAGTGTCTTGCTTTGAGTCTTATGCCATAAGAGCAGTGGGACAGTCTCATAACTGGCTGAGGCTTTAAGCTTTCAAAGATCAACTATTGTGTTCAAAGTATCAACTTTCATGTTCAAAGACTCACTTCAACCATAATAATCTTCTTTATTTGGATGTAATTTGAATTTAGGTTTTACACACCCACCTCTACAGAGCATTGCGTATGAGGATTGGGAGGCATATGCTCTTAGCGCATAGTGAGTCATGCTTTCCTCCGTGTAAAATATCTTTTCACATTTAGTGTTTTAATGTTAGTTCTGTCTATTCCTTGAGAGTAATACTAGGCCATATATGCTTATAAAAATAATAGTACTTAATAACAACAATAAAAACAAGAACTTTAGCTTTTGTACATTTGGTCAAGTCAGACTCAAATAAGTTCCCAACTATTTCAACTGTTCTCTAAATATATTATAATCTAGAACAGGCATCGACAAACTTTGGCCTTCCAGGTATTTTGGACTTCAACATCCACAATTCTAACAGCCGGTAAGCTGGCTGGGATTTCTGGGAGTTGAAGTCCAAAACACATGGAGGGCCGACGTTTGCCCATGCCTGATCTAGAACTTATGTGGATTGTATGTTCCTTTTTCTGCTTGGGATCAGAAGTGATTTGGATTTCAGATTTATTTATTTGGATTTTGGAATAGCAGTATTGCTGCATGCATACATAATGAGGGATCATGGAGAATGGGACCCAAGGCTAAACATGAAATTCACTTATGTTTCATATACATTTTATACACATAACATAAAAGCAATTTTATACAATATTTGTAATCTGTACATGAAACAAAGCTTGTGTACACTGAACGATCCAGAAGCAAAGTTGTCACTTTCTCAGTCTTCCATGTATTGTAAACAATTTTGGAGTATTTTGGAATTCAGGATAAGGGGTGCTCAACCTGTAGTATTTTTTCATAATTTGCTGTACTCTTATTGTTGTTGCAAATCTTCAAAAGTTGATATGTTGTTTATCCATAGAACAATGGCTACACATTGACCATATGAATCTATACAGAACTTTAGAAAGCTTTTTGACTACAGTTTTGAGAATCTCCCACCATTCAAGCTGGCAGATTCAGGAGGCTTGTAGTTTTAAATTCAGATTCTATCATGCGGTCTTTGTTAAACTAGTTCTCAGACTGAAGCAAGGAATGTTTTTATTAAGAAAGATCCATTGCACTGAGAACCCATTTTCTTATATGAGATTTGAGAATTCTCAGTTTTATTGTAATGCAAGAAATACATTCATGAGTGCTGTAGTTGAAGCACAAGATCTAGGATAATTAATAAAAGCAAAGAATTTGAAAGTGAGGTGGACCAAGGTCAGGAGAGTTGGTATCCAGATCTGGTATGAATCAAAAGTGAGAGCTATGCAGTTAGGTCAAATTAGAAGTATAGATCTGAACTTAGACTAAAGCTCTCTGACTCTCAAAGCTAGCAACCATGATAACTGGGGAAGAGTGAATGTTGAAGATAAAAAGGGAACTTTTTCCAACTGTGGTATAGATCCTGCTCTGGCTAGAAGTCGTTTTGGTTCTTCATATCTTGGAAGAGTTGGATACACAATTGCAAAGCGAGGAACACAGAATCGCTGGTCCTCCAGCAGAGGTTGCTCATGCATCAGAAGAGGGCTAAGGTTATAATACCGTAAATTGAAAGAGACTCATTCACAGTTTATGACAATATCAAGTGTTTCCCAAGGCCAGTTCTTGAATATTTTGGCAGCAAGGGAAAGAATCTTCTTTAAGGAGATTGCTTTGCCCAGTGATAGAAATACAGACAGTCTCCAAGTTACAAATATTCGACTTACAAATGACTCATAGTTAAGAACGAGAGTGAGACCACAGGAAGTGAGAGAAATCATTCCTGGAAGAGTTATTGTTGGGAAAAGCTGTCTCCACTGAAGCTTTCTCTCCAATCCTTGTTTCCACAACAATCCAGTTATCACAGGGACAGAAAGTGAGGTGATATCTTCTGAACAGGGGCACAGGCAGCAAAACAAACACCAGGGGTATTAACCCTTCCATATTCTATCCAACGCGTGCTCTCTCTCTCTCTGTATCTATCTATCTGTCTATATATACACACACACACACACACACACACACACACACACACACACACAGTATATTCTGGCGTATAAGACTACTTTTTAACCCAAGAAAATCTTCTCAAAAATCAGGGGTCGTCTTATATGCGGGTGTAGTCTTATGCATGGGAGTTGTCTTAACTCTATATTTTAACTGGAAAAGTTGGGGGTCGTCTTATACGCCCTGTCGTCTTATATGCCAGAATATACAGTATATATGGCTGGAGTTACACTTAAAAATGTACCTGTTCTGACTTACAAATTCAACCTAAGAAGAAACCTACAGAACCTTTTTCAGTTCATAACTTGGGGACTGCCTGTATGTATTGAAGCACACTTTGCCTCTTGCTTTTAACACTGGAGTTACAATATTCAGGGTTTAAATCCAGTTTATTAGAAACCAATAAAAGTCTAAGGGTTTCCATGCTACCTTGAAGATGATAATGTAATGGATAGCAGGGATCTTATAAAAGCACCAGTTCCTGTATGAACTTGAAAGTTGAGCAAAGTCAGCTCTAGTTAGTACCTGGGTGGGAAACCACTAACAATACCAGGTTCTGTTGGCTACATTTTGGTAGAACCACCTCTTAAGTATTTCTTGCCTATGAAATTATTGTGGTCGGCAAAGGTCAACTGACAACTTAAAGGAACATAGACACGCAGGCAGTGTAATGGGGGATGACTAAAAATGTGGATATTTTTTTCACTCACACAGTTTTAATGCACATCTCAGAGTGTTCTGATGCTCAACCTTGACATATTCTTAACATTACTGCCGTGACTCATTTTTTTCAGACATGTGCATTGCCACAGCAATTTCTCTGCTTATGATTCTCATCTGCGCAATGGCCACGTATGGGGCATACAAGGTAATGCATTTCTTATTTTGCCTTAACCACCCTGCATAAACATTCATATATAGTATTTGTAGATAATATAAATCAGGAGTTCAGGGAAAATAATTTAATTGCTCTTAAAATGCATTTGTCCTATGAAGTTGCTCAGAAGATACCAGTGGAGAAGGCATCATCATGGCCATCTATACAAGTGCACATATGCAGATGGTGTAATGTAACATTGCCTAAACCAGGGACAGGCAAGTGCCTCTGCCTCCATTTTCCTCTGCAGTTCCTCTTAAAATGGCAACTGGCATCACATTATCTTCTGTGTCATTTTGAATGGATCTATCAAGGAAACCTAAGGTGTTTAGTGAGGATAATTTGGGTCAAGTGGTGTTGGTTTGATGTGTTTTCATTCTTTGGGGGGGGGGGATTGTCTGCACAGTTCTTAACCAAACATTGCCTTAAAACTGTTCTCACTCCATAAAATATTTAAATTGCTTGAAAATCATGCTGAGTATTTCTTTTAAAAATTGGCAATTTGGGGAGGCTTTTTGGGAAGCCACCAGTGTCACCATAGGTTATTGAGCGTTGTTCTGTTTTTAATTGTTGTTTTTATATGCTACAGTTTTTACTTTATTGTATTGTACTGCATGTTTATTATATGTTTTGCCTTAAGCACTTTGTGCCATATGTAAGCCACCCCGAATCCCATTGTTGTTGTTGTTGTTCTTGTTGTTCCATGGTTTTGCACAGCCCATGAGTCATACTCTAGCCATCCCTGGCCTAAACAATGTAGGTGACCAATATCAGATTAAGAATTCCAATCCAATACTGTTTTCCTTGAGGGCACAAATGCTCTGTAGTTGCAGCCTTTTGTATGGCTGAAAATTCGAAATGATGGAGTGGGGAAAATGTGTCAGCTTAACACAGGAAAACCCTTTTGGGGTTCGCAAAACTTTTGGTACCAATTGTGACATACTGTGTGGTTATAAATCAGGGGTAGGTAGATTCAACACATCATGGGGACATTCTCCCATCAATTGAATCTAGCAAGAGTTCTGTCAAAACGCACATCTAGAAAGGGAGAGAAAAAGAAGACGTTTTATTAACTGAAATGTATTTTTCTATCAAAATAAGAGATCTGAGGAGTCTGCAAGGTACCCATGAACCTCAGAAAAATATGTTATGTAACATGTGCTCTGTGTTTATGTCATCAAGGACAGCCCACCAATATCTTTTTTCAGGCTTAGTGGGTCTTTTATGTCGTAAACATACTATAGCTAAGCATTAAGATTTCTCCCTCTTTCTCTCTCTTGCATATATAGCAACATGCGGCTTGGATCATCCCTTTCTTCTGTTATCAAATCTTTGACTTTGCACTCAACACCCTCGTTGCTATCAGCATCCTTGTGTACCCCAGCACCATTCAGGATTATCTGCGACAACTGGTAAAGCATTTTGTCATTTGTTCAAAACCTTTGTGTACAAACTTTCATCCTGTTTGGATTCCAGAATAGCGTGCAGTCAAAATGTATGTCCTCATGTGGAATACAATCATCAAGCAGGCAATCAAATTGGTTTGATCCAGACTTAGTTATATTTGGAGTGAGCCAATTAATATCGATTGGATTAACTTAAGTAACTATTGTTATATTTCACTAAGCTTGGATCCAATTCAGTACTTAAAAGAATTAATAATGACAGTAGTTTTAATGTGCCTGGTCTGTTTAGGCACAATGTAAGCCTCTGCAAGGGAGAAAATAGCAGTGATTCCTAAGCTAATTGACAAAGCTTGAGGTAAATGGGAAATTAATTTATTTATGTAAGAAATACTCATTAGTACAAATAAGAAATTCCCAGATCATTGCAATGTACTGAAGATTGATTGGGACTGGCGATGAAAGTGGAAATATTGTATATTATGTGCAAGCAGCAAACAGAGAGTTGCAAATGGAGCTACAGCTCCTCATTGACTTTCTCCCCCTCTATTTATCACAAATGTCTTGTATATGTCATGTATTATAAGATATTACACAACATATTCCCCCTCCTGCCATCAGTGTCTGGGGCTGGAATTCTGTGATAATGATGCCATATGTTATCATGGAAGCAGGAATGGATTAATTCAAGAGACACACCAGAAAATACTGTTAGTGTAATGGGTCATGTCTTTAGTTTTGGTTTAATGCTTAACTGCTACCCTGCTTGCTTATTTATTTCTTTGCTTTATTTCTACCCCACCTTTCTCATCCCTTTGGGATACTCAAGGCAGCTTACAACTCCAGCAAAATTAAATACCATGCTAAATATAGTCATAAAAACATATTCCATCAACTAAACAATTAAAACAATTAAGCAAATAAATACACAGATTGATAACAAAGTTAAAAACATGTGAAGTGCATAGTACCATTCTTCCATAATCCTTGTTTATAATCCTTATTCAGACAGTGTCAATAATTCTCTCACACCAGAAGCAACTTGCAGTTTCTCAAGTCACTCCTGACACAAAAAAACCTGGAGGAAACCTTTTAATGTGGTTTACACCTGGGTTAAAAAAATACCTGCAAAGACCTTAAACTTCTGCGCAGAACCAGGTCTTTATTTTTTTCTGAAATCAGAAAAAAAGGGAGGGAGTTCCACAGCCTGGAGGCCACCACTGAGAAGGCCCTGTCTCTCATCCCTACCAGTTGTACTTGTGATGGCGGTGGGACTGAGAGCAGGGCCTCCCCAGTCGATCTTTAAAGCTCTTGTTGACTCATAGGAGAAGATGTGTTTGGACAAGTAAATTGGACCAGAACTATTTAGAGTTTATCGGTTAAGACCAGCACTGTGAATTGGGCTCGGTAGCAAATTGGCATCCAGTGGAGCTGACGTAACAGAGGAGTAGTATGATTCCTTTACGCCGCTCCAGTTAGAAATCTGGCTTCCACCCACTGGACTAGTTGAAGCTTCCAGGCCATCTTCAAAGGCAACCCCATGTAGAGTACGTTGCAGCTGTCTATACAAGATGTAACAAGAGCATGGACCACTGTGGCCAAGTCTGACTTCCCAAGGTACGGGGACTGGCTTCCCATATGTGGATTTGCTAGAGCTACAAACTAAAGAATGGTAAATTGGTTTTTACTGCACAAGAAAACAATGGAAAAAAGAAGTGTAGTTACTAGTGAACATTCATACAATACCAATCCTTGTTTCATCACATACAGCAGAAGCCCCCCCCCCCCAAAAAAAAAACCCCTAACAAAGTCACTTCCTGGTTAGAAAAAGGCCTTTCTTGGATCTAAAGTAAGGCATGACAAAATTGTCTCTATGCTAAGGAAAGAGAGCATTTTAGAACACACGTACAATGAAGGAAATACATTTAAGTTCTACTCTTTGTTGGGAATGTGCCTAAATTCTTTCTATTGAAATAAGCTGAACAAAAGGAGGAGAAACTGGGACTTTTTTAAAAAAAAACAGCTGAAAAGTGGAGTAACTGAGAAAGTCAGGACTGTTCCTGACAAATTGGGACAGTTAGAATTTCAGTAGTTATGAGATCCTCTGATCTTCTTCCAACTTTTTTTTTTGATGCGGGGTAGGAGTTATGTGGCCCTCCCAATTTTTTTGAACTGCACTTCTCAGCATTCCTCACAATTGGCCGTGCTGACCAAGATTGCTGGCAATTTCTTTCCAGCAATATCAGGAGAGCAGTACAATTTCTACTTCAACTGTAATGAATGAGACTCCATAACACTATTTCCATTCATTTCAGTCTGCCTGGAGCAACTGAAGCGACTGCCTGATAGCCTAGGTCTAAATGTCATGAGGACCATAAACAGAGGTGTAGCATTTCTTAAGTGTTTTTACAGAGTGAACTGATATATTCCTTCATAATTCCCAAAGAGTCAAGTTTTACTTAAGCCATTTCCACTCTGCCATGTTTCCAGGCTTGTGGGTCAATTCCTTATTACTAAACAGTAGCTTAGAGTTTATGTTTTTATTTTGCTTCACATTTAGCAGAGCTTTGCAGAGATTAATATAAAAGGATCACACTGAGGTGACCTTCATTCAGTCAGCACAATTGCAAAACCTCATATACTACTCGATCTTTCAATTCGTAGTATATTGTCTCTTTTGCTGTGGCTAGTTCTATTCATTCCACTTGTGCCTATTTCAGCCAAAGAAGTGAGGGAAAAGGTCAGGTGCCCTCAATACGCTATTAAGAACAGCTTTTTCAAACTCAGTTAATCTTCAGTTGTGTTCAGCAACTACTCTAATCACCCATAGCTGGTACAATGCTTCTCTGGGCATGTGTTTTTACAGGAAAACCAAAATACGGATTTTGGAAGGCTTTCATTTTGAGATGCAAAACTCATCGCTTGCATAACAAAATGATTAATTTAACAATATACCCCTGGTGCATCAGTTGTTTTGAATAATTAGGCACTCATCTTTTATTTGAAACTTGACATAAATTGCATTCCAGAGTTTGATCATTTAAAAAATGCAGTAGAAGAACAATATAAATAGTCACAATGCGATAACTACCCTGATAATTGCTTTTAGTATAATCTGATTTAGAACATTCTGGCTGGAATCCTGTTGGAGTAGAAGACTAGTGTATAAACAGAGGTACAAACTGATGCACTTTCTCAGGCATGGTGTTAAGTCCAGCTCTTAATATATCCAGTTGTTCTGCAAATGCACACACACCAAGGCAACCTGCATGGAATAGTCACAGGGATGGCTACCTGGTCTGCCACAATTCAAACATTTCTCAGACCAGGCCAGCCATGATGCCTCTCAGGAATCCCTCCCCAAGGAAAGCATTTTTTTTTAGCCTAGATCACCCAAAGCAAGAGGAGGAAGGATGAGGCAAGACAGAGGGGCTGACAGACTGCTCCCCCAATTTAGTTAGTGGGACACCTTATGCTGCCATTGAATCTACCCCTTCTCCCACTACTACGTAATCTGTTCTTAAAATGGCACAGGCTTTGTGCCATTTTAAGAACAGATTGCGTAGTAGTGGTTGTACGGTTTGTTTGGGGTTTTTTTTGGGGGGGGGTTGCCATTTTTTTAAAATGGCAAACATGGAGCTTCACAATTCATCTGCTATCTTGGCAGATCAGTCATGGACAACTTCAGCAAGTCTAACAAAGTTACTTTTTTGCCACATAGACCATATATATACACACACATATCTATCAGGAGAGGTAATGCATCATTTCAAAAATAAGAAAAGATGCAACATGGGCTTCGTAATCAGCCGCAGGGGCCATTTAGGCCATGCCTTGTTTGCCAAACTGTTTTCCACTGAGGGCTACGTCAGTCATTATTATTAGTAATATTAGTATTAGCATTAGTATTATTATGTTTATAGTTGCCTTCAAAGGGCCATTTGTAATTGTAGGACTATATAAATGTAATTATATTACCCTAGCATTGATGGCCTATGGGCCTTGCTTTTAACATGGGTGGTTTAGGTTCAGCAACTGCCTCTTGGTTTCAGAACATCCCTTGGAATGAAAGAATGAGCTCTCCAAAATCTGAATTTCCCCTTGGCTTTTCAACAGCATTGCAAGAAAATAGCATTAAAGTTGTCATGCAACCTGCCATGTTTGATTTGCAGAGTGAGCAATTAGCTTAGATTTGAGGTTCACACATCCTTAATTCAATCTGTCTCAGCAACTGTGTTAATAATCAGTGAAATGCATTAATTAACAAAGGAAGACATTGCCAGAAAAGGGATGAGGCTGACATTTTCCCTCTGTTCCAGTGTTGTGAAATGGAGACAACTGCCTTTCTCTGATATATGTTCACAATAAAGCAAAAAGTGATCAAAATATAATTTTCAGCACAAGGACAGAATATTGTGTAAAGAAGCCAAAGGCATTGTTGCATAACATTTATCTCCAATCTGTTGTGTGCCATCTGGTGGGATTAATCAATCAGAATACTTCAGTGAAATTGCAGATGATGAAAAAGCCTTGCAAGTGGCCAGCAAAAAATAAATTCATGGAGAAGAGTATATTTGTTATGGTTTAAACCTCTGTGGATTTGACAGCAATGCCAAGGAATTAATACTATTTTCAGAATATTGGGGGGGGGGGGGTGAAATTATTTATCTTGCTGTCCTTGCTGAAAGGGAAAAGATTATGTAGGTTTTATAAGGAAGTGGGGGAGTATAGAACTGTTGGTATATGGCTATATGAGTCCCTCGCTTCTTGACTGTCAATTTTTCAATGATCCACACTTTCAACCTTTTCAATTATAACTAGAACCCATACACTCAGCACATAGTCTGCTGTTTTGACATTGCGTCATGTTTTCATGACCTTCAATGAGCTTCTGTAATCACAATAACACCTTGTATCTGTATGTACAATATCAAAAAGCAAATGAGTATATATATGTGCGCATGCCAGGAAAACTCGTGATTACTAACAATATACATTTTTTTATTTTTCACAGCCAGCTAACTTTCCCTACAAGGAAGAAATTATGTCCATGAACTCCACCTGCTTAGTTGTGATTATTCTTCTTTTTATAAGTATCACATTGGCTTTCAAGGTAAGCATGTCTCTATCGAGGTCAAGATGTGAAAATAGTTGGAATGTTTCCATTTATGGTCCACACAACAGTATTTGTGAGATATAACTGTGAAAGGTGAAAGTCACAAAGTGAATGTTACTAAAAAAAAACTAGCATGGCTAACAGTTGGCTTGATTCTATAGGACATGGGAAGCCAGCTGTTGAAACATGTCTCAATGAATCAAATGTATTTCATTCTATGATCAGCAGATACTTTTTGGACTACAACTCACAGAATCCACCTGAGGAGAATTGTTGTTATTGTGTATCTACAAGTCTTTACCAATTGCAGTCTGATTGAGTCTGAATTGATGTTTTTATATGTGCATGTGTTTTATTTTATTGTATTTTATAGTGTGTTCACTTTCATGTTTGTTTTTAGGCACTTTGTACCATCTGCAAGCTGCCCCAAGTCCCTTCGGGGAGATGGTGGTGGGATATAAGAATAAAGTTGTTGTTGTTGTTGTTGTTGTTAGAAATACCAAAAGATTAGTACACAACAAACAAGGTCACTCTGCTGGCTGTTGTATTGGATGACATGTTGGACACTTCCCAAGTGTCTAGGACTGTATTATTATTATTATTATTATTATTATTATTTTACTGACACAAAAACACAGTATGTCACAGCAAACAAGATATATATGCTGGATTTCGTATCATAAAATCACAAGTTGAACACTTCCCAAGCATCTAGGACTATGTGATGTATTTTCGAATGATGCGCGGAGATCCAAGTAAGGGGGCCTTTTGCAGTTGACAGATCATGATTTTGTCAATGTTTATTGTTTCCAAATGCCGGCTGAGATCTTTTGGGTTAGGTGCTCTTAGTTCTACTTCTCGGCTGAGACCTCTCTGACTTGGTTGGACCTTCTGGTAGTTACACTTCCACCAGCACAGCTCTCAGCATCCTTGGAGCAGTAAAGTCCCCCCACCACCAAGGTGCCACCCATCGGGGGATTGTTGTTGTTTTTGTTGTTGTTGTTGCTATTATTATTATTATTATTATTATTATTATTATTATTATTATTATTATGGCAACCCATAGGAGAGCCTACCATGGCGCTTTCTTGGCAAGATTTATTTGGGAAAGTGGTAGCCTTTGCCTACTCTGAAGCTGAGAGTGTAACAAGCCCAATGTAATCCAGTTGGTTTCCATGGCAATACACAACACATCTACATACTAGAGGTTTCTGTACTTTGGTTCAGATAGGAAAAATATAATTTCCTGTTACACTGAGCTAGCTGTAAGAACCTTGGTCTCACATGCTCCCCTTTGTTTCCCTTCTTATAGGGCGACAGGGAGGTAACGGGAAGCTTGATAAATACAAAACAGCATTTACTACCCAGTGTTTTCACCTTGAATTACTTATATAGAAAGGAGATGGAGAGTAAACACATAATCTGAAAAATTTGTTCAGACACAGAACTATATGCACAGCTACTAAATCTTCCTTCTTTTCTGTCAGGATTCTCCCTCTAAATAGCATATGCTAGACTGCTATCGAGGATACTTTTAAAGTGCAGTAGCCTTGAATTACACAAACAGTTTCTAAATACTTCCAGTAATGGGTTATAGCAGATCCACACTGTGCATGAGAGATTTCCTACCACTTGTAAGAAGTTATTTTGGACTACAAATCCCCAAAACCCCAGCTAGCACTGGCAGTATACAAGCTATATAAATTGATATGGGAAATTACTTGAAGTTGTAGTTTAAAAAAAACTTTGCCAAAGTTTGAGATTGCAATGCGGCTTTTCAAACTGGAGCTGCGGGATACCGTCTTGAAGCAAAAATGTTATGATGGAAGGATGTCCAGCAAACAAAAGGACATGGGGTGGAACAGGTTGTCTGGTAGTGGGGAGCAAAATATTCACCTTTCTTTAAGCCTCTGTCAGTCTTCTCAGTCAGAGAGGAAGCCCCAGTTTCCTTAATGGTGGCTGGAGACCAATCATAGTTATATATAAGTTTCCATGTAGATTCCATACAGGGAGCCTCTAGATATGATCCTGAAGTTAGCTAGTCAGATAGAGTTAGATTTAAGGCCCATTTACTTCAAGAGGATTAAGCTGAGTTAAACATTTTTTCTGCTTGTGCACTTCAAGCTGAAAGTAGGTCAACATTATCTCATTTATTGGAGTAACCTTTGTTTTTGAAGATGAAAAGGCTCTTCCAAAAAGCAACAATGGGGGGAAGCCAAAGCTGTTTTTTTAATATTGGAAAGATGGATTTTAGCCTATATGGCCATTAAAATGCTTGTATCACTTTCATGGCTCTTACGAAGTGAAAAATACATATTTATTGCATAAGCCCACCAGTTCTGGTATTCTAATTTCAAATTTATTTGGTTTTGCATAAAGCCTAAACCCCAAATTTTCCAGATGAATGCAAACTGAATGCAACTGTGCATATATCTAGTGGACAATAATCACTCATCATTGGTAGACACAGAAGCAAACAGCTGCCCACATAATAGCCAAAGAGCAGCCTATGGGAACCCTATAGGTAGGATGTGACTGTAGTCAACAAGTTGTTTGTGTGTGTGTGTGTGTTAGGAGCGACTTGAGAATCTGCAAGTCGCTTCTGGTGTGAGAGAATTGGCCATCTGCAAGGATGTTGCCCAGGGGACACCTGAATGTTTGATGTTTTACTGTCCTTTAGGAGGCTTCTCTCATGTCCCCGCGTGGGAAGGTAGAGCTGAGATAGGAGCTCACCCCGCTCCCGGATTCAAACTGCCAACCTGTCGGTCAGCAGTTTTGCTGGCACAAGGGTTTAACCCATTGTGCCACTGGGGGCTCCTAGTCAACAAGTAATACATAAAGGCTTTGGCACCTCTTGCCAGGATTCATTACCATCCAGAATTAGCTTATGAGAGAGGCTCCCTTTCATGTACCAACAAATATTTGTGACTTCACTAGATATACCAGCCAAAATGCTCTAAATACAATTTTTCTCTGCAGTCTTTCACCTTGGTTGCTTTCATTTAATTAAAAAAGTAAAGAGAGCAGTAGTTTGATATATTTTGATGACTTTGTGATGAAACATATCATTAATTACTCTCATGGAAGCTATTAGAACAAAAGTTGTAAATAAATAGATAGTTCCTCTTTCTCTTTACAAATAAGTCCTTTAAAACTTAAAATTTGTTTGACTCCTATCCCACACCAACACTCTGAGATTTTCTATTTCACAATTTATTTACGTATCTATGTATTTGCTATATTGATATCTCGCCCTTCTCACCTGAAGGAGACTCAGAGCAGCCTTACATTTGGCAGCAATTCAATGCCATATCAACAGACACTGAAATAAACATATACATTAAAACAAAAAATAAAAAGCAATATAAACATTAAAACACATTACAATCACACAATCCTAGGACAAAGCCAAAAGCCAAAAGCTTTCATTTCATTCTTTACACAACCAAATTTTTAATCTGGGAATTGGGATTGATTTTCTATTTTTTGCATGCCTTTTTAACTTATCAGTATGCGTTTGGACCCTGACATTTGTCACAATGGAGGAAGGCAGTATTCCCATCTGTCTGGCACAGTGGGTTAAACCCTTGTGCAGGCTTAACTGCTGACTCGAAGGTCAGCGGTTCGAATCCATGAGACAGGGTGAGCTCCCATCTGTCAGCTCCAGCTTCCTATGCGGGGACATGAAAGAAACCTCCCACAGGATGGTAACACATCTGGGCGTCCCCTGGGCAACATCTCTGCAGATGGCCAATTCTCTCACACCAGAAGCAACTTGCAGTTTGTCAAGTTGCTTCTGACACGATTTTTTTTTAAACCCACTAAATTGTGGATATGATGCCTCTGCTAACACAGTCCGAAATAGGATTAGCTTTCTTTGCAACTGTATTGCATTGCTGACTCATTCCATTTATGGTGAGGTATAATCTCCAGCTCATTTTTTCAGCATGTCTATTTTTAAACCATTTACAACCCCCCCCCCTTTGCCACACATACTTTATTCTTGCTTTTCAATTTTATTCCTACCCAGCCTCACTCAATTTTCTGCCATCAGCAAATGTCATAAAGACCTGTACACTACAAACATTTTTTAGACTGAGTACAATTTCTCCATCATTAGATGCTCCTGCTTTTGGGGTCAGAAGAATTCATATGTCTGAAGAGGGACAAGAGACAACCACTCTCTTTAAAGCATGTCTGTATTGCCTATAGGAAAGATAAAATTTAATTTTGCCACTGTGTATGAGCCAACTAGTGAATCCCTGCTTTATTTTAGTAGCCTTTTAAAGCCTTATAAATTCAAACCACTGGATCCTATTAATCTTTGGCAGGCAACAGGCACTCCTTTGTGGTTTCCTGAACATGAAGAGCTTTTCATGTTTGGCCATTTTGACTTTCTTCTGCTGCTTTCTTTTTTGTTGTTGTTGTTATTGTAATTTATCCACCAGATTGCATTTGCTTAAATCAAAATTACTTCCCCTTTCTTTCCACCCTCTGCCTTTCTTCTCAAAACACAGAAGTAATCCATTCCTTATTAATCTTAGACTCGTCGTGAAAACTTGGAAAAGCAGGATAAATATTTTTGTTTAAAAAGAGATGACTTTGGAGTTAAATCCTGTGACTTTTAGACTCTGGTCCAAGGCTTTTTCTTCATTCCCTGAAGAGAGAGCAGGGAAGTTCATTTTAGAATGGAATGTACAGACAATGCACACATATTCATTTTTTTGAAAAAGAAAACTCAGGGGCCATTTCACATTAAAGGGATGGCTAAATACCATTAACCCATATAGTAGTGTTCCTAGGCAGGCTACTTGAGCCATGGCTACTATGACTCTCAATCGAAAGACAAAAGTAGGGTATACATACCCAGCATCTCCCTGCACATCAGCTGAGATCCATAGCCTCTTCTTTCAATTTTAAAGCAACCTAAAAACCCTGTAAAATGGAGGAAATATGCTTAATTTTAACCAAAAGGTGAGACTTTTGGCACCCTTGGACTGCAACCTCTAGCAACCCCAAACCAATATAAACATTGATAAGAAACCATGAAAATGAACAAAATGTGGATTAACCAAAATTCTAAAAATCAGGACCGTAAATAAAGAGCAATACTAAAAAAACATGGGAATTCCAGACAAGAATCAATCAGGGCCAGTTAACACCTCTCAACAAAGGATCACTCCAGGCAGCAATCACCCAGGCTTTGAAGCTACAAGGACATAAAATGCTAATCAAGGTGGTCATCTGCAACATTCACACTTGCCTCAAGCAGACAAGAGTTCTTTCTCCCACCCTGGACATTCCACAGATAAATAAACCTCACATGCCTAGTTTCCAACAGACCTCATAATATCTGAGGATGCCTGCCATAGATCCAGGCAAAATGTCAGAAGAGAATGCTTCTGGAACATGGCCATACAGCCCGGAAAACTCACAGCAACCCAGTGATTCTGGCAATGAAAGCCTTCGAGAACACGATAAAAAAATAGAGAGCTTATAGTTCAGTAATATCAGAAAAGGTAAACAATTTTGATCCTAATTATCATTAAAACAAACCCAAATCCAACTACTTTTGATTCTTTGCATTATGAGCTGAATAAGTTGTGAGCAATTGTGAGCTTCTTAGGATACTTGGAGGTTCTGCACCTCAACCCATTTTTTAAAAAACCCAAGCATTTTTGCTCCCAAATGTCTTCCCTACACACCGTCTAGGGATGAAAGGAAGGACGGGAAGAAGGAAGGAAGGAAGGACAAAGGAAAGGATGGAAGGAAAGGATGGAAGGAGGAGAGGGAGAGAGGGAAGAGGGAAGGAAAAAAACACAAAAAGGAAGGGAGGGAGGGAGGAAGAAAAGGATGGATGGAAGGAAGGGCAGGATAAAGGAAAGAGATGAGGAAGGAAAGACAAAAGGGTGGGAGGGAAAGAGAAAGAGGGAAGGAGGAAGGATAAGATGGTGAGAGAGGAGCGCCTGAGAAAAGAGCCCAAGGGGCTGCATTCGGCCCCCGGGCCTGGGTTTCCCATAACTGATCTAGATGTTTTGGGCTTCATCTCTCAGTATCTATTATCATTGGCCAACTTGGTTGGGGTTTCTGGGAGCTGAAGTCTGAAAGGCTAATTGTTACCTGGAATACCGAGGTTTGAGAACCATTGATATAGAGCACTTTGTACAACAAAAATGTGGAGGTGGGTTATTAATTTTTGGTACTTTTTTGAAAAGAATATATTCTGGTTTCATGTATTCAAAGCATTTCACATGCATTATTAAGTTATGGCCCTTTACAAAACTCCTATAAGGTAAAGGGTGCATAACCTGTTTCCTGCAGAAGCCTGTTAGGTAGACCCCCATGATTCTGCCTCCAAAACATTTCCACCAGTGTCTGCCTCAATAGTGCTAAAACGTCTCCCTCTGCCAGTGGCTCCAGTGTAGGAGTTATTGATATTTCCACATTACCTTCCTTCTTGCTCAGCTATTCCAAACCAGCTGTATCTTCCTCTGTATGGATTTGAGTAATTATATATTTGCATAGGTCTTAGTTGAATGCTGACTGCAGTCTTCTGGGGGAGAGTGGGGCGCCTGACACCAAATTTAAGAAGAGAACCCTTCCTCCAATTGTTTCCTCTGGCTAGTATCCATATCCCCAAAATTGCAGATAATGGGACTGAGGCTGAGAAAGGAGTTGGCCAAACACTACCTAAGAGATAATAAAGGAGGAATTTCCTGATTCATTGCTTGGTTTTTTGAGCTACTGTGATAGAACAGTCCTTTTTAAAGAGGGAACTGGAAGAATTAGCTTCCTATTCTATTTAGTGAATTGTATATTTGAGCCATTTTGAAAATGCATTCTGTATTTTTGTTTTGTTGAGAGAGAAAGGTATGTACTGTAAAATAGGTCAGTGACTCAGTTTGATGGGGGGGGGAGGCTTTTAAGGACAAATCCGTAGGAAAAGTGCTGGGCAAAATGAATTTCCATTACAACATCTGTGTGTGTGTGTGTGTTTGTGTGTGTGTGTGAGAGAGAGAGAGAGAGAGAGAAAATAGAGTGACACACAGAGACTGACTCTTTCCAAGATACATTGGCTAGCGGTCCAGACTTTCATTGCTCATATTCCCAAATTCATGTGGGTGATTATTTTGGCGGCTGTTTGCCTGATGTGGGCAAACTGGCAACCGCTTTGTTCAGGAAACTCCCTGAGCCTGGCTAATGGGAGCAACTTCCACTTTACAAAACAACACACTTTGGACACTTAGCCAAAAACTGTTGTTGGGAAAATTGCATTCAATACAGAACCAGCACGTTGCAACACACACATAACAACCATAGGGCTGGGTTTTGTGTTTTAATAGTCTTATGATGTTTATATGTTTTAACTGTCTATTAAATCGATGTATTGTACCTTACGTTGTGGAATATGTGACATTGAATATTGCCATTTTGTATGCCACTATGTGTCCCCTGCAAGGGTGAGAAGAGCAGGATAGAAATAAGGCAAATAAATAAATAAATAAATTCTTGCAACTCCAACAACAAAGAGATTAAGAATGTTTGCAGGTTGCTATAATTTGAAATAACCATTTGGAATTTCACTCTTAATACGTCAGATCAACAACAGCTTAGGCTTAAACTCCCTATAGTCCCTGTTATCACCTTCATTTACATTTCTTCAGAGAAATGTTAAAGGGGAAAAAAGATTTGAAGTCTGTGAACTGTGCAGTTTTTCATTTGGCAGCATTTTTTTAAAAAACTTGTAAGATCCAGCTATTGCAGCTTTTGCCTTCCAAACCTCATGTCGCAATATTTGTTAAGCCTTATAAATAAGTCTACCTGTTGAATTAACCTACAAAAAATAATAACATCTTGCCTGTCCATGGATAGGAAATGTGCAAATAAATAATCCAACAGGGGTTCATTGAAGGGTGTTTCTCCCAAGATGCAAAACTTTCATATCTTCCTATTTTGACTACTGGGCACCCATCTTTTTCCTCTTATTTATTTATTTATTTACAGTATTTATATTTTGCCCTTCTCACTCTGCAGGGGACTCAATGCAGATTACAGTGCACATACACATGGCAAACATTCAATGCCATTTAACATACAACATATATAGACAGACATGGAGGCAATTTAACATTCCAGCTTTCCAGCTTCATGAGGGTATGCTCAATTCCGGCCACAGGGGCAGCTGCCGCTTCACCATCCACTTGTGACACCTAGACCTTGATGGAGTCCTTCCTCATTCTTACGCATGCTGCTGGAAGGTTTTATGGTGTCATAAATTAGTTAAATTAGCCTCCCCACATAAAGCGGTATCTAAATTTCCTACTTGACAGATGCAACTGTCTTTCGGGTTGCACAGGTTGACAGCAAGCTAGACTATTAATGGTCAGGAGCTCACTCCAATCCGGGCTGGCTTCAAACTCATGACCTCTTGGTCAGTAGTGATTTAATGCAGCTGGCTACTAACGAGCTGCGCCACAGCCCAGCCCTTCACCTTCTCGTCTTCAGTGAAACAGTTCCTTGTATTCCCCCCCCCCCAAATCACTGCATAAATTTGTATTAACTGGCAGATTAATCACTTCATAAAAATTGCCACACATCTGCTTTGAGGAAGAAGAAGGAGATGGATTGATGATTTTGCAAGCAGCAGCCAGTTGATGCTGTGCACAGCAGACTTTTGTGCGTGAAACCATTTCTCCTAATCTTGAAAATCAATATGAAATTGGACTGCTTGCACCGTTGACAGCACCCTCCTCATTGTGTTACCCTGAAGATGTTTGGACTTTAAAATCCTTTTATCACTACTCACCAACTGCACTGACAATGTCTAAGGTAGTTTTTAGTCCAGCACCTCTAAAGGGCACATATTATGGAAAACTAAAATACAACTTAGGGGAAAGATTGCTGCTTCCAGAATATCTCAGCCACTTTTATAATGCAAGTCTTTGTGTTTTCTTTCAACATGAATAACCTAGGCAAATCGTATCAGTTCTTTTCAGCCAATGGCAGCTGGTGGCTCTGCTCTCAGTGAGTTTGTGTATCAACACTAGGTTTTAGACCAGTGGTTCTCAACCTGGGGTCCCCAGATGTTTTTGGCTTTCAACTCCCAGAAATCCTAACAGCTGGTAAATTGGCTGGGATTTTTGGGAGTTGTAGGCCAAAAACATCTGGGGACCCCAGGTTGAGAACCACTGTTTTAGACTGAACTTTAAAGGAGCTGTCCAGGGTATTCCCAAAATAGATTTAAAACACTGGATAGCCTTTTCTCATGATCAGAATATAACCCAGAACAGATTTACTGTTACATTGACATGGAAGCTACAAACTTGCCAGTGCTTTCAGCTAACAAAAATCTGTGCCTGATAGCTTGTCAGGTGAGTCTGCTCTTGGGTGCCACAAAGATCTCTGCCTTGGTGCAAGGCTGGCATTTTTTTAACGATGGGGATGTTATTCTCTAAAATAAGGAGGAAACTGTTTCTTAGCCATCACATAACATGCCATGCCTTAGTAAAGAAATGTAATAAAGTAAGTATTACCATTTTGACATGTCTTCTCTTCCTCTCTGGTAGGCTTATCTGATCAGCTGTGTATGGAACTGTTACCGATACATTAACAACAGAAACAACTCTGATGTCCTGGTCTACATTACTACTAATGACACAGCGGTAAGCACGATGAAACTGAACAGGGCTTTGCGGGCGTCTGGGCCTCGATGATGAGGCCTTCTTCATCTGCTGTGAAATCAACCATGCTCAATTGCAAAACTATTAACCTAGCACTGCTATCTTCATGGGAGCTGCTTCCTAGAGGTGATCCATGGTTGGCAAAGGGGGTATGTTGGGGTTCCTCGTGCAGATTCCTGGTAAAAAGTAAAACCTCCTAGCTAATCAGCCATTATCTTTTCTTCAGTAACCTGGATAGCTTTAAATTTTGCTTAGACTAATTCATCCAGGTACAACTATCATAGGCTGTCAACCATACTCCCTGGAATACTTTCTGGGGCTTAACTGTGTGGGAATCCTTTTGACTTTGGGCAGAATTTCTAGTAGCAGCATTGGTTACTGCTAGAAACAGGATGTTGGTAAAAGTGGACATTGGTCAGAACCTACTGAAGACCTTGGTTTTTTATCATGTCAGGAGCAACTTGAGAAACTGCAGGTTGCTTCTGGTGTGCAGAGAATTGGCCATCTGCAAGGACGTTGCCAAAGGGGCACCCAGATGTTTTGATGTTTTACCATCCTTGTGGGAGGCTACTCGCATTTCCCTGCATTTGAGGTTGGAGCTGACAGGGGGAGCTCAACCCACTCTCCCTGGTTTTGAACTGCTGACCCATCAGTCAGCAGTCCTGCTGGCACAAGGTTTAACCCATTGCACCACTAGGGGCTCACCACCTTGGAATGAAAATGCAATAATCCACAATCCACAGAGAACTAATACCTTTATTGGCCAACCAAAGTACAAAAAATGCATCATGCAAGTTTAGAAGTTCCACTGGATTCTTTGTCAAGCAAAAATGTTGGTTTAAAAAAAAAACCATGCAGGAGAAGACACATAATGATGGAAGAGTCATAAGCCTACATTTTGTCCCAGAAGTTGTTTTTGTTGTAGTTTAGTTGTTCTGCAAAGATGCTAATGCAAGCAATATTCACTCCCTTTCTTGGCCATTTGGACCAGGGGGAAAGGGCAATAAAAGACGGAGTAAGATCTGAACTCAATTTAGCAACAAAAAGGTAAATCCCCTTGAGATTTGGGGACTGAGACTTAATTTTGTGATTTTATCTCCAACAAAGGTAAAACTGTCATTTGGATTACAATTGGCAAATCTCACTTATTTGTCAAACAAAAAGTTTTTCCAGATGTAACAGATTTCTTGGAAAATTCAATGTTTTCTAAGAAAGGAACAGTTATTTTGCACAGAATAGCGGCACCTTGGATTTCAAGAGAAATTACTTGCTTATGGAGTTGAAGGCTTTATGGCTCTTTGTCCTATGTCTCCTATGGTCAAGAAGGAGACTTTTTTCTAGACATCATGACTTTTACAGAACATAGTAGAACCCAGAATCCATTTGTGATTCTCCTGCTTCCTCATAAATCCTCATTCTTCAAAACACTATGTCTGTGCAACAATTGTAACATCCTATCCCCACATACTGGAATGTTTTGCCATGTAATGAAGCAGTGTCAGCAAACTGGAGCACTTTGTTATTCCAAGAATCTGTGGCTATCCAGACCCAAATGTAATATATTGAACAAATCTAAGACAGACGTCCTTCCACAATCTGTGCTCTCAGTGAGTCCCTGAAAGCCAATTTCTTCAATATATCTTCCTAATGAGTCCCAGACGATGTTTCTTATACATGACATATGCTTTATGTGGTTTCAGCTACCAGATGTAAGCTCTGTGCATCAATACAACCCTTTAATTTTTCTAAAAGCGAATAAATAGCTTCTATAATTGGAAGCTCTCTCTCTCACACACACATATATATATACATGAGCACAGCCAATGTACACAAATGTTCTTAGGAAAGTTTTGGCAGTGTAGGGAAATGAAAGCCTCTAAATTATCTTGGGGCAGTCCAGATTCCATCTGTAACCATGATGTGTTGTATTCTAATGCAACTTTTGGGTTGCTTCCTGCTCATATCAGGGGAGAGGAATCCTGGAATCTGCTTCTTCTTGACAGGTGATAAGAAGAAATAATTGTGCTGTGCCTAATCAGGGAGTTTCAGATAGAATGTCCAGTCCTTGCTATGAAATACTCAGCAATGTTTGAATTACAAAAGTAAGTGTGATTCAAACTGCTTGATATGTCAGGCTGGCAATTTTCCCCAGTGTGATTAGTACCATATTAAGAATGTATTTGCAAAGTCTCCTGGAAGCATGCAGCTGAGAGTTCACAAAACTGCACCATAACTCACTACTTTGGAACACTAAGGTAGGGCATGTATGTGACAGGAGCACATGAAAGGCAAAACACAGAGAATTTGAATTGTTCACTGTAGGGGCAATTGCATCATAGAATCATAGAGTTGGAAGAGACCATGATAGCCATCCAATCCAATCTCCTGCCATGCAGAAGCACACTCAAAGCACTCCTAACAGATGGCCACCCAGCCTCTTTTTAAAAAGCTCCAGAGAAGGAAAGTCCAACACACTCCATGGCAGGATATTCAACTGCTGAACAGCTCTATCCATCAGGAAAAATCATGTCCATTACATTGGATGAGCAACTGTAAAGGCCATGGGAGCAGTTTTCAACCCTCACAGCACACATCTCCCATAAAAATTATCCAAAAGCTCACCCAAAACAATACTAGAAGAAATTACTTGTTTCTATTGTTGTTATGTTGGGCTAGGCTGGGTTGGGAGGGATAAGGTTTTCCCCACTCCTCAAGGAGGTGACTTGAAGGATGTAGGGTTGCTAAAAAAAAAGGCAACCTATAGTTACCATGTTTGCTTTATACTGTGTGTCAAAATGCTTCAGACTAATTGTACAAGACACGGTTTGAAAAAATATGGAATTCTAATAATTCAGTTAGTCACAAATTCTTAGAGTGATATTGATATAATTAAGTTATATTTTGAAAGTAATAGAGCAGGCAGGAGTGAAGCTACTTCATTGGTGTGACTAGTAGTTGTTTCTGGGTTTTTCCCCCAGCAATTACCTCTAAATGGCATTTTCAGGGGAAATTTGGCAGGAATTTTACAAGCATTATGCCATCCATTTACAGTTTTGAAGGTTGTCCTCTCAAATGTGATAGAAAAAGAGACAGAACAATAACAAGCATCTAATGAGATGTTTTTAACCCACATTGTTGTCAAGTGATAGCAATGGATTATTTGTCAGTAACTGTACTGATTAATGGAATGAAATGTTTTTAAAAAGTAACTCACTGGCTTTCCAGGAGGAGCCGGGTTTGTTTTCCCTTCCCACTGAGCCACTGATCTTTCTAACTTCCTAATTGGTGGGTCCACCTAGATTTTTGGTTAGACCCCTTTCTCAGTCTTGTCAACTAAAATTCCACAGAGTATGTCATCTTTGATATGCAATATAGAAATAGTAACAGCGCTACATGCAGTCATGCCGGCCACATGACCTTGGAGGTGTCTACGGACAACACTGGCTCTTCAGCTTAGAAATGGAGATGAGCACCACACCCCAGAGACAGACATGACTGGACTTAATGTCAGGGGACTACCTTTACCTTATAGGAATAGTAGATGCCGCTGGACATTTTGAAGGGAACATGCCTTCTAGCTTTGGATGAAAAAGTCTTTAAAAATGAAAACTATGAGCAGGGTGCGGCTTATGTTCTTCTAAAGTTGTTCTGGACTTCTAGAGGGCATCATACTTCTTTCTGGCATAAACAAACCAATATTTGGTAGACTTCTGGGAGCCACACAAATGGATAAAGGGCCTGTGGGCCATGTGTTGTCCAGCTGTTTGCTAAATCTCTAAGCAGACAAATGTAAGGTACATGTTGGCTCCCCACCACCACCTGTGCTTATTTTCATTTCACAGTCCATCCAGACTTTCATTAACTGCTAAAATTTTCCCTGGCAGAAAAGCAAAGTAAATTAAATGTTGGTCCACCTCTGCTCTGTCTTCTGGTTCCTTAAATTCAGCCGCTCCCTTACTGTGCACTTATATGTTGGTGGTCTTTGGTGATGTGCATATTCACACATACAATATCATGATGGAGCTCCAGAGAGTGAACATAAGTCAAGTGGATTGTCATTTTCCCTCTAAGCAAGCTGTTTGCTTCCTTCCAATTCTTGGCTGAGGTGACTCTAGTTTTGTTGCTCCTCCTAATAGTTCTTCACAGATGTGCCTGTGTGGAATGAATGTTTCCCAAGGGAAAAGAGAACTGGTGAAGAAGCTTTTGATCAATAAAAGCCTCTGTGCAGTATTTTTGGAACTAATCTGTCTGCTTAAGGTCCTCTACACTTACATAGAAGGAGAAGGTACTGAATAACATTGACAGACCTGCAAGCCACCCCTCCCATTGTGCCCTGGCTCTGAAGACCCTTCAAAGCCAACCTTTCCAGTAATCAGCAGGTAGAAAACAATCGTGTATATCTCCTATTGCCGTTGCTGCTTCCTCCCTACAATAATTTGGTGACTGCCATATTGCACATATTAGACAAGGGCTATTGGGCAAGCATCCCAGCACTGTAGGATTCTGGCTTCTGCTTGAGGAGGTATGGCAGCTCACTCACTTGTTGAATTTTTTTGAAACTGTTGTATCCTTTTAGCACCTTGCTTTTTCCAGTTTGTGTTCACATCTGGTTAGGAAGAAATGTGACATCAATCCATTTAGTATGATTTCAGGGCCAAAGAAGGTGCTTGTGAAGATCTGGCTCATGTATAATAGCCATTCTCCCAACACTCATCTTTCATCGTCTGCAGTTATCTACAGATTCATTTATTTAAAGGAACGTTATTACTATACATAGTATAGTAATTCAGCAGTGGAACTCTCTGCCCCTGAGTGTGGTGGAGGCTCCTTCTTTGGAGGCTTTTAAACAGAGGCTGGATGGCCATCTGTCGGGGATGCTTTGAATGCAATTTTCCTGCTTCTTGGCAGGGGGTTGGACTGGATGGCCCATGAAGTCTCTTCCAACTCTATGATTCTATCATTGTGAGACTGTGGTGTTTTCTAATCTTTGCTTTCTCTCTTTCTCAGGTCCTGTTGCCACCATATGATGATCCAGCAAATGGTGCCACTAAGGATCCCCCACCACCGTATGTTTCTGCATAAACAGCAGCATGTGTGAAAGTCTACCTATAGCTTTACTCTCCAGAACATCTGAGCAATAGATTGTTTCTTTTTCAAGAGATGGATGTATACTCTCCCAAATTTATTTATTCCCATTTTGCTGTAGGCAGTGAAATAAAATGTTGTTTGCCTAAAGCAGTGTTGAACTGGCTTCTGGGAACCATTTTGATTTACCTCCAGAGCCATATTATAGGGTTGTATTTTCATGTCTTCTCCTGCAAGTCTAGAAAAGCTGTGCTTTCTATGCCCAACAACTACAGATTGGGGAATATTTGGTTTTTGCTTTGTTCAGAACTTTTGAGCAATAGGAATCAGTTTCTAAAACAACCTTCATATTACAGATTGTGAGCCTAGATTGTATTCAGTCTGTTACAAATGGATCTTTTTGCTCAATAGCTGACTAAGGTCCAGCATAATCTCCCTTTAAGAGTAAAGAAGCGTTTTCCCATTCCTTCTCTCTCCTGAAGGCTCTCTTCCACAGATTTCCCACAACAGCTTTCCGTGGAACTGTAGAGAGAAGGATGAGAAAATATCCTCCTTTTTCCTCCAGTGAGAGAATCCAAGAATAGAAGCTTGGTGCTCTCAGCAAATCTTGACTCAACCTTCAGTTCCTAGTCCCACATTTTGAAAGATAAAACCAATGGAGCAATCTGTGCTGACAGACCATTGGTGATAAAAAAAATTCAAACAGTATTTTTGAACTATCTATTCTTAATGAATAATTCTAAGCAAAGTTCTCAGGTAAGATAATGACAGCTTCAGTCTTCAAAACTCAGGCTAAATATGGTCAGGTTTGAAGAAATGAATGTTCATTATTGCTGCAGTGGAATTGTGTTAAAAATATTTTAAACATTTAAAAATCTCTTTCCTTGAAAAACAATAGGCTTAGTAAGTAAAATAAAAAGACAAATTCACGACTTGCACTAAGCTTTCAACAGAAAAATGATTTATCTGTGTGTCTAGTCCAGGCATGGGCAAACTTCAGCCCTCCAGGTGTTTTGGACTTCAACTCCCACAATTCCTACCGGCTGTTAGGAATTGTGGGAGTTGAAGTCCAAAACACCTGGAGGGCTGAAGTTTGCCCATGCCTGGTCTAGTCACAGACTGATTCTGGTCATTGAGTGATTTTATATACAGTAATATTAAAATATAATAAGAATTTGAGCCTTGAAACCAGCAAAATGTGGCTTTTCTAAGCATTTGGGTCAATCTAAGCCATTCCATCCCTGTGTTTTGAAGGACCATCTCCAGGTACATCAGCCTACTGACTTGCTTGCCCTTCCTTTTTGCTGTGATCTATATTGGGGTCACTATGCTTTTTGGAGAACGGTTTTCCAAATCTTGATCCTAGAGTCACTTGTTCTGGAGATTATGAAGCTGCATAAATATGGCTCTCTCAAGAACAGGGCTAGTACATCATGCCTCAGGACCAGGCCCTCTAAAAATTGACAGGAGTTGCTCTGTCTTGGAGTGTTAAATCACAGATGCACCTGACAGTTCACCCACAGGGATCTGAGCTGCCCCAGGGCCTCATCCTGAGGAACAGCAAGGTGGCTCCAGAGAACACTTGTGTCATTACTATTTTGCAACTTGGCATGCAATGGCTGTGTAAAGTTTTGTGGCACAACAAAAAGTATTAATACTATTCTTAGACTCTCTGTGGCCATTTTGCATGAAAGAATTGGCTGTCTGCAGGGACATTGCCCAGGGGACGCCCAGATGTTTTGCCATCCTGTGGGAGGCTTCTCTCATGTCTCCGCACAAAAAGCTGGACAGGCAGGAGCTCACCTTGCTCCCCAGATTCAAACCGCCAACCTTTCAGTCAGCAGTCCTGCTGGCACAAGGATTTAAACCATTGCACCATCATGTGCCCCCTTTATGCCACATTCCCTCCCTTAGCTTGAGACATGATGTTCAAGGTCATGGTCCTAGAGAGGGACCTTAAAAGCAGCTTTGAAAACTGAGAGAGAAGTAGTAGCAGCAGATGGCACTGTCCGGTCTGCCTCAGGGAGTAGGAGATCTGGATCCAGCATTAACCAGAAACCCTATTAAAACACAACTCTTTTCTACACTTGCATGTCTTACATTGGTCTCTGCTGCAAGCTACTATATTCACAATGTTTTACAATATACCCATTTTTACATTTACAAATTAAATGTAAAATGGAAAGGTTTGTCACACTCACTCTCCTGCCTTTTTCAGATTCTTGTCTGTTATACACACAAGCTCCAGGAGATTTGCCATGTAATGGCAAACTTGTTTGCTGCTATTTGAATGTATGTAATAGCCCTAGGATATGGCGTGACATGCAGAATGGGAAACATGTTAGCCAGAACTTTGTACCTATCAGGTTGTCTAGATAGTAAATTTAAACCCCAACTATGAGAAATTAATTTGCAAGTGGGAAACAGCTACAGCCCGCATTTAATGTTAAATTATGTCCTAGATATAAATTATTTGTATCAATCTGCGCTCAAGTAATTGATTTTACTGCTTTCATGTTTGCTGTCTGATATTCGCCTTTGTGATTGTTTCTGTTACTAATATCTAGCAATTACAAACAATGGTCACAAACCACTTTTGAATCTGTTTGCTTTCAATGGGAGTTAAATGAAGTGTTCAGCCTAACCTCCTGAAACTGATGGTGATTTTAAAATGCCTAATTTTATATGGAATATTGTTCCCAGTGTGAATTAAGATCATGCCATCCATTCTTTTGAGTCACTTGGTGTGGTGAATAATAAATACCTCTTGAGTATCCAGAATGTGAATGTTTTGCCATAAGAGCTTGCTTGTAAATATTGCACTTTGGGGGGAATGTTATGGTACGGTATAAAACTACTGAGGCAAACCCTTTCTTTCAGTGGGAGCCGTCAGAATATAACAGAGAGCTTAGCCATCCAGGCTGAGGGATACTGGGAGCCATAATTCAAAATCATGTTTCCAAGCTCTGCTTCATGTGTGACAGAAAAAAATATATACCTTGCTATCTGTTTTAATGTGAGAATAGTGCAATCTTGTTTTTGCATTTGAAATCATTCTAGTAAGTTAATGCCCAAGCCTGTTATTTACTACTGCTGCTGCTGCTACTAATAATGATGATAATATTAATACTTAGCATTTATATAGGACTTTCAATACATTTCACACTTATTGTCATGAAAATTTTCAACAATCCTGTGAGGTCGGTTGGTATTATATCCATGTTGCCATTATGGGGTTATGTTTGAATGTGGCTTAGCTTGTGGTTATCTAGTAAGTTCAATCCAGAATCAACATTCAGAGGAAGGGACTTGCCTTATTTGGCTCAAATTACATCTGATTTCAATTCATTCTGCCACAGTGGCAATGGGTTGAACACTTGTGCCGGTTGAACTGCTGACCTGAAGGTCAGTGGTTCAAATCCGTGAGGCAAGATGAACTCCCATCTGTCAGCTCCAGCTTCCCATGCTGGGACATGAGAGAAGCCTCTCACAGGATGGGTGGCATATCATAAATCCCCACAAGTGGAGTTAAGCATTGATTATAAAATTTAAATTGAGATCTTGTATGGAATGGCAATATTGTCCAATGAACCAAACAACCAAAAATGTACTACTGCTAATTTCAGGAAGAATTGATGAGTATCGGCTAATGTTCATGCATAGTATGTTCAGCTCCACTTCTGGAGGAGTTGAACTACCGTTCCCAAGATCAACTTCCCAATTAGTCATGCTGTCTAGGAAAATCTGAGAGTTGTGCACCCAAAAAAGAAACTTTTCTTAACTCTGCATTGAGTAACAGGCAGTATAAAAATTATGCTTGTTTATGGAGTAGGCAACAACGTGCCCCATAATATGTGCTCAAGCCCCTACTTTGGCATGCAACCTCCTTGAGTTTAGATAGATTTGTTTTTGTTTGCTTGTTTTGCAAGGCAACGTGTACTCTGGAATAGGCCTCACACAGTCATGTTGGATTCTAGACTTTTTTTTAATCTTGGTTTGCCTGGATTGGGTGTGCTGCTGCTAGGCCTTTTGCTTTTGTTGAGCTACTTAATTTTGTGGCATTTTTAAATGTTGGTATGGAAATAAGTTCTTGTACATATTTCTCATTCAATTCTTACGTGTAAACAAAGCTATCTAATAAAAGGGTTATTTCCTCATGCCTGTGTGTGTATTCATTCTTTGCGCATCATTTCACTAAGAGTTTTTAAAATAAATTCTTCGACTTCAATTTGAGATTTACATTAAAGTATTATCAATGCTTCAGTTGTTTCAGTTATGATATCCCCCTTCTCCCAGTATGTCCTACCTAGATGTAAAAGAAATCTAACTTGGACTGCTCCTCCTCATATGGAAATGAAAACTGGGAACACTTGCAGAACTCTCACAAGAAATATAAGGGTGCAATGTGTACAACATAGAATCATAGAGCTGTGGAGTTGGAAGAGACCTCATGGGCCATCCAGTCCAGCCCCATGCCAAGAAGTAGGACATAGGGACCCTTGCTTTCCTGTGCCATTATTATTGTTGTTATTATTATTATTATTATGTCACTTTTCTCTCTTAAAAGAGACTATACAGAAAGCATCTATAACAGGGATACTCAACCTTCCCAATGCTGTGACCCCTTAATACAGTTCCTCATGTTGTGGTGGCCCCCAACCATAAAATTATTTTTGTTGCTACTTCATAACTGAAATTTTGTTACTGTCATGAATTGTAATGTAAATATCTGATATGCAGGATGTATTTTCATTCACTGGACCAAATTTGGCACAAATACCTGATAAACCTAAATGTTAGTACTGGTGAGGTTGGGGGGGTGGGTTGATTTTGTCACTTTGGGAGTTGTAGTTGCTGGGATTTATAGTTGATCTACAACAAAAGAGCATTCTGAACTCCACTAATGATGGAATTGAACCAAACTTATCACACAGAACTCCCATGACCAACGGAAAATACTGGAAGGGTTTGGTGGGCATTGACCTTGAGTTTTGGAGTTGTAGTTCACCTACATCCAGAGAGCACTGTGGACTCAAACAATGATGGATCTGGACCAAACATGGCAGAAATACTCAATATGCCCAAATGTGAACACTGGTGGAGTTTGGGGAAAATAGTCCTTGACATTTTTGAGTTGTAGTTGCTGGAATGTATAGTTCATCTACAATCAAAGAATATTCTGAACTCCACCAACGATATAATTGGACCACACTTCCCACATAAAACCCCCAGGACCAAGAGAAAATACTGTATTTTCTGATGGTCTTTGATGACCCCTCTGACACCCCCTCATGCCCCCCCAGGGGTCCCAACCCCCAGGTTGAGAAATGCTGATCTATAACTGAGCAATTATAGGACAATGCTCAGGATCTGTGTTCCCCATTCCCGCAGAAAGGTCAGTAGCTATCCTTATGGCAGCTGAAAGAGACCTTTGGGAATTCTAACACAAACATTTCTGTACTTTCCTGACACATTGCCCATGCAGCAACAAAAGCTAGGAACATGGCTTTTGTTTTTAAGGTGAACAATATGAATTCTCTTTTTGGCTACATATTTCATTTTAAATTACAAATATCTCTACTGTGACTTCATCTCAAAACAAATTTCAGGGTGATGCATATAAAAAAAATTGAAATGCAATGCAATAGAACAAAATCTATAAAATCCCAATTCAGGAACCTACAATGTGTGGTTAAATCAGGTTCACTGTGTGGTACAATTTAGCCTATCTGCAACATTGCTCATCTGTTTTATGTTGACTTGAATTGTCTGTTATGATATGACTCCCACGTTGCACTGTATTTAACACTCCTAATGTCTCCTTTTATATAACAAAAGTTCATACCTACTTCAGTGCAGGTTTCTCTTGGGAGAGATTCTTTTCCAAGCACCTCATTTCAATTTATATAATTCATTGCTTCACTTGGGTGTGTACATGCAATTTTCCCCCAGGGCACCAACTTTTGTCGATCTCCTGCATTCTGAATGATATATCTCATCACTGTGACCCCACAGAACTATTCAGAAGATCAGCATGG